GTCGCTGATCTAGGAACTGAAGTTTATTCGGCTGCACTCTCTTGTACTCACCAAGTTAATTGCTGAGATCTGGAAATGCTGCAGCATCACCATGAATTAGTCCAGAAATGCATACGTGCATACTATGTGATAACCCCATGGAAGCGCCAGCAATGCGCTGGTAGACCCGAACATTTTGCTAGGACAGCTAACATACCATGGAGGGAGATAAAAACCAGGGGGATAGCAGTTTGGAAGTATTTCACGCTGATGTTGCCTTACACATAAAATAATTATACAACGTATTACTGGTATCAGATCGGATACTCTGCATTGGCCGATACCCAAAGCCCAGGTATTGGTATCAGTATCAAGATGAAAATGTCAGATCGGTGCATCCCTATACGAGTAGTCGGTTAATCAATAAGTCGATGGAAAGAAAATAAATTGATTGATTGAACTATTTTGATAATTGATTCACTGTTTCAGTCTGTTTTTATCTGGTTTAATCTTCCTAAATGTAAGGAATTGCTGCTATTCTTTGTCATTTATCATAGTAAATGAAGAATCTTTGGGTTTTGGACTGTTGGTTGGACAAAAGAAGAAATCTGAAGACGTCACTTTGGGCTCTGGAAAATTGTGATGAGCATTTTTTACCATTTCTTTACATTTTATAGACTAAACGATTAGTCTATTAATCGTGAAGATAGACTGCAAATTAGTTGATAATGAAAATAATAGTTAGCTGCAGCCCTGTTGCAGACATGTTTCAACTTTGACCTGCTATATATCAGATTTATCATCAAATAGGTAATTAAGCTAAACAATGAATTATCTTTTTTAGTTAAGCAAAAAGAACAAAAAATGCATTTTGAACAAATCATTGAGGTGTACCCTGGGGAAATATTTCTAACTCTACAACAGTACCAGGATTTAGCAAGAAATGTAATGCAAATTTTGATGAGATGAAGCTGCCAATTATTTAGACCGTTATTTTGACTCTATTGTTTACTGTATCCAAAAGAGTAACATGGATATATTCATGTTTACAAACACCATGTAGTACTTTTTTTTTTTTTTTTTTTTTTTTTTTTAAAGTGTGCTCTGTAGCTTTTCATCAATCTGAGGCAGGAGGACACAAGAAGACAGAGCACCCAACCAAATTTTTCTCCTGTTTTTATATATATATATATATATATATATATATATATATATATATATATATACACTAAATGTACAGTATGGGCCCGATAAGCTAACAACCCTGAATAAAGAGTACTGAACTGCGTGTCCATTCTAAAATATTCCACGTGGAATTTTAGTACCTGTTATGGGTGATTTCCTAAGAATTATTGCGTAGATGACAACAGAAGCAAACATAATGGAGGTGGCGATATTTAAATGAGGGTTTTGCGTGTTTTAATGGTTTGTACCATGGATAGTCGGGAGGGAAAGCAGCCACTGCGTAAAAACCTTGGTTTGTTTCGTTTAGTGCGTCCGAGTATGTGGAAATCGTATGTACCTGTCCTTCCTGCCTAAGATTGCTACTACTTTGTACTTTGGGACAGCACACCTGAAAAACCGCTTTGGGAAACCCGATCAGAAACAGCTACCGTGTGCTGGAATGACCCGGACGCAAGGAAATGCCAACAGATCGTGTTTCATCCAGCCAGAGGGAACAATCACCGACCGTCTACACTAGTGTTTCTCAACGGGGGCGTTCCGAGGACGTTGGGGGGCGCTGGAAGCAATATTTTGGAAGGTGGGGACGCTGAGCTGCTTTTGGGGGGCGTTTGTTGGTTGGAAATTCTAAGGCGAGTTTACACTTAAGATTCACAACAATAGAAGTTTAAACTTTAAACTACTTGCAAAAAACTGGTCTGCAACATTAAAACCTGCCAGTTTATTCCACTGCAACTGGACAAGACTGTGTATTTTTCTCCATCAGCTACTTTTGGTGCAGCTTCGTGCTGCCTTCACCGGAACGGGAAGTCAGAGTATCATCTATAAATTTTTACCCACAATGCGTTTACTGTGTAAACTCTGTAAAATCAACGTTCTCTTTCTTGGTGGAAAGGTGTTTATTTCTCTGAGGAATACACCGTGAACATCTTGTTATCGCAGTGGTTACACATTTATAAAAGGGATATTCTGCTGTCGGACTCACCCTGAAAGCAACTTCGCTGCGACACCAGCGAGTGACGTGGACCCACCTCGTGGTGTGAGTCGCAGACAGTTTGTGCCAAAGTGGACATATACTGTAGTTTAGGCTATAAAAATGTAACGTTAAACTGAAGCTCTGTTGGGGATTGTAAGCGGCACTTTATCAGAGGTGCTGAAGTTAACGTCTGTGGAATTATTCGTGAGCTTTCTGTCTGATCACAGGTGTTGTTGGTTAGTTTCGTTTTCCCCCAGCATGAGCACTTCCTAGTCTCATCCAGTTTTGTCTGTTAGACGGCGAGGGGATACTTCAGTATCATAATGCAGTATAGGGCATGTTGTAATATATTATGAATTCTCTTTAAATAGGCTAATGATGTAGTCTCCCATTATGACTTTTTTGTGTCAGAGAACTCCGATATGTGGGAGAGATTCTGAATGTGCAGAAATTTTTGAACATAAGCAGATAAGTTACAGTTTTTCCCAAACGTACATTTATTTGTGGCGGCCTGCCACAATATCAACGCTGACCGCCACATATTGATATTAGATTTTTTTACTAGGCCTATTTAAAATCGTATTTGAGCTGCAGGCAGCGCGTATTCAGGCAGCACTTCCTCTCGCTCGTCTCTCTCATCCGTCTCTCGATCTCTCTCCTTCGTTAACACAGCTGCACAAATCTGTCCAACACAACGCTGTCGATGTCGGAGACCCAGCTATTAAAAGTTATTAGCAAGCATGTAAGGAGCCTAGCTAATAAGGAGCGCTAAGTTAATGTTAGAATACAGCTGGGTTTTCGAGGCTAGCATGCTGTATATAGCTGCGCCACAGTTACACTGTCATTCTGAGGGAAACAGAGTTATGATAAGTTATTATTACTTACCCATAAAAGAAGTGGTAAGACTTAATCATGTGTGTTGACTCAGCAGGGATGATATTAAATAAGTTGATCTACAGGAGAAAAACATTTAAAAGCAATAAGAATGCCTGAGAGCCTCACTAGATTATATTCTATTATAATTATATATTTTGAATTGTCACCTGCCAACTGAATTTTTAGACATTTTTTTAAGACAGAAAAGGCAGAAATTGGAGGTGAAATTTTCACCAGAATGCAGGAAATTAAGTGTTTTAAGCTCAATCTTCTGGGGGAGGACCCCATATACCTCCCGCTTATTAAGTGCCCCATCCAAGAAAACAGTATCTGGCTTCACACAGTTTCTTCACACAGTTGTTACCTTTTCCATGTTTTTAATAACAATAGTAACAATAAAAAAAATCAACAATATTCAGGGCAAATAGCAAACCTGTTTTTTGATGGGGGGCGGTAAGGGACCTGGATAATGGATAGGGGGGCGCTGGCCCAAAAAAGGTTGAGAACCACTGGTCTACACCGTGCCCAGTCGCTTTGCAATCTCCTGTCCCTGTCCACCCCAATGCCCCATTCCCTCTCCGATACCTACAATGGGTTGTATCGCTATTACAACCGGCGCTGGGGACTCTCTGCAGCGCCACGCATCTTTCTAAATTCTTCCATCTCACGTAGAAAAGAAGTCAGGTCGAAACGAAATTTGCTTTATTGGCATGAATGTTATACAACAGTACTGCCAAAGCTAAAGGAAAATACAAAAAACCCCAATTCAATTCATATAGTTAATCGACTTCTCTCGGCCTCCGTCTGTCCCCTGTCTCCATAATCCTACCTCTGTTGTGTCCATGAAGTTTTATTATCTCCCTCATGCATTCACTGGCTTCCTTTCTCTCTCTTGAGTGTTACTTACCAAACGTTGGCTCACTTTGTTAATAATGATAGGTCGTCACTGCCTCAGGTGGCTTACCCTTCACTACAGTGAGAGTCTGTAGAAGTCATAACACAGCTGCTCTGCTATAGCAGATTGGATCAGTTAGTCCTTTCTGGGACCTTGTAAATGCCTTTGTCTGATTGTGTAATTAAATCAAGCATTCAGGGATGGCCTTGATAACTCAGTTGTTCCATTTGTTTTGCTTAAGTTAGTGTGAGGCTGTAAGTGTGTGTGTGTGTGTGGTAGAAAGGCTAAACGGAGAACTGTAACAATACTTTTTTTCTGTATGCTACATGACTGTTGTTCTCCCCCTGGGCAAAAGTAAAGTGTATCCATTTGTCAGTCCCTCATGTATAATTCAGATCTAGTTGCAACGCTCTGGATTTCTTTCCAAGATTTGCTGTTTTTTACTTGGCCAGATTGAGGGGATAGCATTGGTGTGGTTGTGTTTCCTCTTCCCCTCAGCTATTTCTCCATCTTGTTTTTCTGAAAGCTTCAGCTGTGCAGCATTGATTTTCCTCTCTCATTCTTTTGCCCTCTGAAAATATCAGCTGTTGCAGTAACAAAGAAGGGCAGTTTTTCCCACAGCCTCTGAAGGGAACCTTAGCCCAGTCTAGCCCAGTCTAGCCTAGCCTAGCATTGGCGTCATGTGTGGGTTTCTGTTTGGGGGGAATTTAAATTAGGACAACAATGTAGCATTAACCCACGTGAGGGAAATTAGTGGTTTCCCATAGACTTAGTAACTCTGTAATGTTGATTGTGACCGTTGGAGTGATGATGTTTTTGATGGCGATAATGATGAGATGGAGCAAAATGGTAGTTATTCTATTTATCAGAGACATGAGTGAGACAGAGAGACTGTGTTCTGAACATTGTTTGGGAAGTAGAGCCAAAGAGCAACAAGCATAGGTATTAAAATGATGTGTTTTCTCTACATCTATCTTTCTGTCCTTCACACACTTGGCAAACATACTATGCATGTATCACATATTTTTCCTGATTTAATAACGGCCCCTGTCTCTCTTTTCTTTCTTCTCCATCTTTCCATTCCTTCCGTAGTGTCTCTTCAGGACATCACCATGAGGAAGGCTTTCAGGAGTTCCACAATTCAAGACCAGCAGCTGTTTGACCGCAAGTCGCTGCCCATCCCTCTGCAGGAGACCTTCCAGACGTGCGAGCAGCCGCCACCTCTCAACATCCTCACGCCCTACAGGTCTGAATCCAGTCTGTTTGACTAACTTTACGAAAAGTTGGTTTCTGGGTTTGATGTTGTTTTTTTTTTTTTTATTGTATGCTAAAAATCAGTAATAATGTGCATTTAAACGACATTTTGCAAGTGAAATGATGACCCTAGAATATAATATGATGGTGCCATTGTTCCAGTCTTTAAGAAAATCCTCACATGGTGTACAACTGGAAGGTTGCATTTCCTGTTCTGAGCCCAGCATGATGCTAACTTCATCGACCTTGTCTGTTTCCACTCTCTTCAGGAAAAATTACAAAAAGAGACTGACTACTTCACTCTGTGTTAACACAAAAATACCTAAATGGCCTTGAGTTATACCATTATGATGCACTACACAGAGAAAATAGAAAGATGCCGTGAGCTTGCTGTAACCTCAAATAGATGCAAAGTTTGATTTTGCATGTATTTAAACACTTGCTTGTGCACCTGGGTTGGTTGGTATATTTTTATAGTCTTGTGACTCTTTTACACCAGGCATCTCTCTTAGCCCTTGAGGTTGAGCCGGGCGAGCAGAGCGATAGAGGGAGTCATCTGAAGATGAATAATCCATAAAAAGCTCTGCTGGCCAGCACTCCCTCCCTTTTTATTTCACAGTCATCTCACCCCGCTGCTTTCCCACTTCTGTTTTCCCTCTAACTACTTTTTTTTTTTCTCCTCCAGCATCTTACATGACCCATCTCTGTGTAATACTGTCGCCCTGACCAAGCCTGTTATTTTGTGTGTGCATGGACGTGTATACATATGCACTCACTGTAGGGAGACAGGCGCAGGTGTAGGCTGTGGTGTTTAAATCTGTCGTGGGTGTGTTTTTAATCTCTGGGCCTTGACATGGCGTAGACCAAGCGGGTGTGGGTGTGAGTATCTGCCTTGCTGATGTTATTTCCTAGTCTTACTCTTGTTTCATGCTGGCTGAAGACTACACATCCCTTTTTATTCACTCTTTTATTTATTAATGGGGATTGTTGAATTAGACATAAAAACTGAGTACCCCCGAGCACATGGTTCAGTAGAGAGGTTTAGGTATGTATTATAGAGTCGGACAGAGACCGTTGATCTACTGGTTTGTCAATGGGAGAAAGAGTGGTGTACATGCGTATGTATTAATATTAGCGCTTTCACTAACAATTATTTTTATTATCATTGAACCTGACAGTTATTTTCTTGAATAATCGGTCAGTTGTTTGGCCTATAAAATGCCCATCACAGGTCCCAAGGTAAGGCCTTCAAAACGTATTGATATATTTTGATGAAATGTCCATATTCACTTAACTATCGTAAGACAAAGAAAAGCGTAAAATCATCACATTTCAGTCGCTAGAACCAGAAAATTTTTTGCAACTTAATTATTAAAATTATTGCCAATTAAGGTTTCTCAAGCAATGAATTGTTTCAGCTCTACTTTATATTAAATGGGACTACGTTGAAAAAGAGAATACAAGCACAGCAAACCATCTCGGAATAAATAAAGGTTAAAATGTGACTGAGTATATGGTATATAAAAAATATATATGTATTGTTCGGTGAGTTTCATGTCCATCCAAGCCTCCTCTCCCCTCCACATTTTCCTGTCCTCTCCTCTCCCCTCCACACATCACACCAGGAGGCTCCCTGGGACACCTCTCCAGGCTGTTCTTTCTCAGATCCACCCAGAGCACAGCTGCTGTACTCTCTCTGCTTTCTATCTCTCTCTTTCACTCACACACATACACACTCACACACAAACACACGCCTCAAATATACGCGGTGTGAATACCATGCATAATGATTTACACAAACACTCAAATACTACCCGCAGTGCACACACACTACAGTAGCGCTCTCTCTCCAGCCTTGCCTTACCCCATTGTTGAATTCTATTTTCTTTCCCTTTGTTGTGTTGCATATCATTAAACTTTCCACTCTTGCCTTCTGAAGCTTTTTATGTTCTGTGTTTTTGCTCTTATCAGCATCATCATCATCAAATTATTTCCTCTCAAAGCCTAGTGGCAAACACAAGTCAGGACCACTGAATGGTCAGGATAGACCAAGTATTTCCTTTTAGTGTCAAAGGAAACCTGAAATACCATTTTATGTTTTAATTATTTTGACTTAGTTTCTAAGAAATATTGTGTTGTCAGTCAGATTAGCATAGCAAATGGCTCCAAATACTACAATACCCATGAACTTCGGCTGCCGTTGCTGTGGAGAAGAAACCAGTCATTGTGCATTCATGTGGTGTCAGATTAATCGGAAAAATTATTTCCCGAAAATTCTCGTTAACGTCCCCTGAAGTCGGAACAACAACTCGGAAAGTCAAAGAAAATTTGCAAGTTGCCGACTTGTTAATGTCATACATGTAGAAACGTGGTGGACAACATGGAAAATTCAAATTCAAAAGGCTTTGCTGTTGCTGTTGAGCACAAAACAAAATTTACCCAGAATTCAAAGCTGAATGGATTTAAACTGCAGATTGTGTTTTTTACTGTAATCTTGTGCTTCTGCCCACCGATGGTAGCGCATGTTAACAGTTTTACAGTTAATTTAAGTTGTTGTTTTTTTTTTCACCGAAATTCACTTTGGGAGTCGTAGTCTATCTGTACGTATTCAGGCTCGTACCTTTTTGATTTTCTTTTTTTTTTTTTTACGTCTCATATATCCAGTTAATTTTGGACGCCATATAATTTTTTTGGACTGATGACATGTACAGGGCAGTTTCATGTCCATCAAAGCCATATAAGTGCTGTGAGTCACGTAACAATGTCTATGGGGAAAATGAATGGGATTTTTACTTCCAGAACAAGGGGTGCCAGAAATGGCTCCTCCCACATTGCAACTCTATTGGGTCTTTCCACCACAAGACATTCCCCACAGGACCAAGAACCTTTTGATGAACTCAAAGTTGTCAGTTTTCCCTGTGTTTGGAACTACATAAAGTCCCTACTCCCACGTTAAGAATTATTGAGTAGAGTTTGCCAGGCAAGAATTTTACTGATTGGTCAAACACAGACCGAGCCGCTGCTACAAATTGTGCTTTATTCATAAAACAAGGAAACAAGAATTGAAGGTTGTTTGTAATTGAGGATGGTCCCAAGGTCTTTGACAGCCTTTCTACATATTACACAAACGGATCAGGTGTAAATAACATACACAGAAAGAAGGACATTTGGAAACGGCTAAGAAAGAAGAGAAGAAACAACAGCAGTGCAATTAACAAGGCTTATCCCCATGTTGATATAAAATGACTTTTCCGGACAGGATGTGTGGGCCTTTTGTGTGTGATAATTTCCTCGTCAATATTGACCTTTTGATCTGATAACTACCTGTGCCCATCAGAAGTCTGTTTTTAAATTTCCCTTCCTGTCTTCATGGCACCGTTCCCCCTAATGACCACCAACCACAGAGGCTTCTGTAATGCAAGTGAAGAAGACAGAGCTGTGCAGAGCTGAGAGGGAATAAATGATATGATATGAAATAAACTGTGTGACAACTTATCCATTTAAATTATATTTGGGCTTAAAGTTATGCATAATTAAGGATGTGGCTGCTCTGAGTGACCGGTGGATGCCCTCTTAGGTTGCTAGCCGCTAGGTGGTTGTCATGGTTGTTAGAAACTCCCGTGGCCAAGTCTGAATGGCCATCGTTGGTATCTTCACCTGAGACCAAGAGGAAATGCTTGTTCAGTTTCCTGGGAAGTGATGAAAGGACAGCATTGTAAGTGGGGGATAAGTGGTGGCGTAGACGCCCTCCTCTGTTCAGCGACGGCTTCTCCCACCCTGGTGTAGATGGCTTCCTTGACACCTCTTTCAAACCATCCATCTTCTCTGTCTAAAATGTGCACCTGGTGGTCCTCAAACAAGTGTCCTCTGTCCTTCAGATGTAAATAAACTGCTGAGTCTTGACCTGAGGAGTTGGCCCTTCTGTGTTGAGCCATGCGTTTGTGTAGTGGTTGTTTAGTTTCCCCAATATACAGGTCTGTGCCATTCCTCACTGCATTGGACCGCATACACTAGATTGCTTTTCTTGTGTTTGGGTGTGCGGTCTTTGGGGTGTCCCAGCATCTGTCTTAGCGTGTTCTTGGGTTTAAAAAACACAGGAATGTTGTGTTTGTTGAAAATCCTCCTGAGTTTCTCTGATACTCCAGACACGTATGGAATCACAGTGTTGTTGTGTTTGATCTTCTTCTCCTCATCCCCTGTAGTGTTGGTCTTCTTCCTGGATTTTGTGGCTGTTTTCACAAAGGTCCATTTAGGGTATCCACAGGCTTTAAGTGCCCCCTTCAGGTGGTTCTGTTCATTCTCTCTGGCTTCTGCACTTGTTGGTATGTTTTCCACTCTGTGTTGCAAAGTTCTGATGACTCCTAGCTTATGTGCCCAGGAAGGCCAAACTGTTGTGGACATCTTCTCGTGTGAATTTGATGTGGCTGTCCACGGAGTTGATCTGTGAAGGCTTGCACCTCCTGGGCTTTTATTTTGACCCACATGTCATCCACATACCTGTACCAGTGGCTCGGTGCTGTTCCTCTGAACGAGTAGGCTTTTCCCTCCACTTCTTTCATGTAGATGTTGGCCACAATGGGTGACACTGGTGAGCCCATGGCACAGCCATGCTTTTGTCTGTAGACTCCTCCGTTGTACTGGAAATAGGTGGTGTTTAGACAGAGGTCGACTAATTTACAGATCTGGTCAGGGCTGAGGCTGGTTCTGTTGTCCAGGGTGTTGTCTTGTAGTAGCAGTTTCCTTACGGATTCTACTGCCTCCATGGTGGGGATGCAGGTGAACAAAGAGGTCACATCATAGGACACCAGGGTTTCATCTGTGTCCAGTTTCAGTTCTTGGACTTTGTTTACAAAGTCAGTGGAGTTTTGGATGTAGTGAGGCGTGTTACCAACCAAAGGGGAAACGTATTCTAGTATCCTCAAAAGTCCAGATGCCCTTGACCTCAAACTTCGTTGGATAACTATGACCTGGATGACTGAGAACCTTCACAGACACCAGACACCAATAGGTGATGTTACTGACACTATTGCCGCGTTCCAGACTGCTCTGAACTGGGAAATTTCCAAATTGAAATCTCCAACTTCCAACCTCAAAGCGTTCCAGGTGCATGGTGGTGCATGACGCCGAACTGGCTGACCGTGACAAAGTGTACACACAGTAGCACCCTCAGCAGTGCTTTAGGTGTTAAGTTAAAGGATCGCAGTTTAAATGCAAAATGACATAAATAGCCTATATGTTACTAGTTAACTATGTACCTTTTACCATTTACAATGTGTGCTTCTATGGGCGCTGACATTGTTTTCTGACATTATTCAGCTGCTATTTGTACATATTTTTTCTCCGAGTTCACAAGTAGGAAAACCGACTTCAAGTGGCGTTCCAGGATAGTTTTTCTAGTTGTAGGTCGGAAATTTCCCAGTTTTGAGTTGCCTGGAAAGCAGCATTAGTCCATGTTTTATACAGTCTATGGCTGAAACAGTCAGTTGGTTAACTGATTAGTCCATCAACAGGAAATTGTTCAGTAACTTTGAAGTTTGGCTCATTTTTCAAGCAAAAATGCAATAGGAAAAATTTGTTGCTTTTTATTAGTCTTACATTATTGTAAAGTGAATATTTTGGTTTTGGGCTGTTGATTGATCAAAGCAAGACATGTGAAGACATCAGTTTTGAATTCTTGGAAGTTTTGGAATTTTCCATCTTTTTTTTCCAGTTGGGGCACCACAGTACCTCACCCGGCCGGGCGCCCCAAGTACCCTTACCCTTTGCTGCAGATTAACTCCCTTTTGATTAATCGACTGACTGATGCAGCTCTAGTATTACCCAAAGGTTGAGACCTTTTGCAGCTTTCTTTCACATGATTTATGTGATGTTTTTATTTAGCTTCGTAACAGAAAGAAAACTTCTCCAGCATGCCAACCAAAATGTAACAAGATTTCTTGTTTTCTCTGGTCCCTCTGCAGGGACGATGGGAAGGAGGGTCTGAAGTTCTACACCAATCCATCCTACTTCTTTGACCTGTGGAGAGAGAAGATGCTGCAGGACACAGAGGACAAGAGGAAGGAGAGGCGGAAACAGAAGGTATGTCTGAACAGTTACAAGCACATGGTGCCAGCAGTGCACAGTACATTTTACTTTCTCTTGATGAGCATTTGGGCTGCCAGTACACGAACACATGAGGTTAGCGCGCAAGAAGACATGACTTGAGAGTGAACAAGAGGCTTCCTGGGAAACACAGATTGATGTGTCCTGCTTGAATAAACCGACAGGGTGATTCACTGATAGATTCACATGCCTGGCTTCATACCATGTAGTCCAGTGCATTCATTAGCAACCATTCGTAGATTAATCAACTCTCCCTCTGGTCAGCCCTCTTAGGTTATTACTAGTGTGATCATTACATCTAATTAATGGGAGCATCTGCTGTTCACTTGCCCCTGCAATGTGAGTCACCTCTCTGCCTCTGCACAAACAAACAAACACACCTCACTAGGAAGCTCTGTAAACACACAAACAAGCACAATCTGTTAACTAACGAAATAAAAGAGCTCTTGGACATCCATTGAAACACAGAGCTGTGGCCCCCCTGCCCAAAACAGAGGGATTTCCCACCCCCAGCATCAGGAGCTCTAATCATGAGCTGCTTGCATTTCCCTGCATGGGAAGCAGGGCGTGCTCCACATTTTGCCCCCTCGCAGTCAATCAAAGCTTATTACAGCCATGTCAATGAGGGATAAGGAGAGTTACTTTGTGTTCATGTGAATGAAGAGGATATAATTTGTTGGTTATGAGGATTTAAATGACTGTGGGAACGGTCCAGAGAGGACAGAGCGAGTTTTGCCAAATAATTAGTTGGGAGGATGAAGTAAAATTAAGGATATTTATTTTCGGTTGTTCCGGTTTTGTATTCATCACTTTTACGATAGCGTAATAAACATACATAAAAAAGCTCATTTACAACAGTAGACAGACCATATTTTCTTCAGAAGTTAAGGTCGATATGACCGCTTGTAGCCAAAGCTCATTCCAGTGATATTCTAATTAAAGCTCCGGGTGGGCTCAGCTTGTAAAGCCACGCTCATTTCCCTCTTCACCACACTGGTAGTTAGACGGACCCCATGGAAAGGCCTAGAAGACATTCACAGGGAGAGCAGGATGGATTAGGGGAATTACGCACACATATTTGTTGGTTTGTGTAACCATCGTGGTTGGGTAAATGGTCTGAATGAGGATCAGGGCAAATCCAGTGCGGAGAGGATATGTGTGCGTCTATGGAAAGCATTCAGAATCATCCACTGGAAGCGTGAGGGATGGACAATTAGTCATGCAAAAACGTACACGCACACTCGCATATATCAACTCAAATGGGTGTAATTTATGTGTATAAGTCATTGATAAATTTACACCTCATCACTTAGCTCATTGAGTGGTTCTTCCACACCATGCCTCTCAGTCATGGTGTTCGTGAAGTGTGTGTGCTTTTTTGCAGTAATTATATACACTGTTTGCACTCCACCTTATTATTTCACCACAGGATTACAGATATTTTTTAGACCATTCTTTGCTTAGAAGCTTCTAAATATTTTTCAAAATGACAGTTTTACCATTGTGCAAACTCACACACAAGCATGGATACGCACAGGGAAATGCTTAAAAAAAGATCTACATCGACCATGACCATGATCTACCATGCAGTGTCAACGGCCTGACAGGCCACGCCACCTGCCAGTCAGCGCGGCGAGATTGGTCTGAGATTGGCTGCCAACACATTTTGTTCCGCGACAGACAATGTTCCAGCCCTCTCGCTCTTTCTCTCCTCCCCAATGTCATTCAGTCTTCACTCTTACTCTTGCAACTTTATATTATGAATAACAGCAGAGCATTGGGCAACATCGTTAAAATAAATATAATTTATAATAATTGACATATACCATTTTTAGATAATCAGTATATAAAATCACATTTAAACTTATGATATAGATGTTTAATGCAATGAAAGTGTTCATCAAATGTGTAAAACAAAACCTGCTATTACTCCTTTTCTTTGTTTTTAATTACATTTTGCTTCCAGTCATTAGTTTGGACAACAAAACTTTATAAAACAGTAACACATTATGATCATCGCAATACGATTCTACAAAAAGTCAGCAAACAGTAATGTTGAGTTGTCACCCAACCTTATTATCAAGAATTTTTAAACATACAGAACTTGTAATTTCATATACTGTATGTTTTGTTGGACATACCGAATGGTAGTAAGGTAAAAATCCTTTACAACCTCCCATGTCCTTACCTGAGGTCACATTTGAGCAAGTAAAGAATGAAAAGGAAGGAGAGAAGGAAGAAGGAATACGAAAAAGGGTGAACACACATGGCAGCCAGGATTTCTAATGGAGGAGATCAATAATCAAAGGACAATCCAGCAAAAGAGTTCCTGATATGTTTCATAATTATAGATCAGGTCTTGTCTTAAGGGAATTCTAGCTTTATGTAGATGATTCTCTAGAAAAGTTTTCTAAACAAATCACATCTTGAATCCACTGAAGCAGGAAGGAGGAGTTTGGATGCCTTCCAGTGAGTAGCAAAAGCAATTGACATCAGCTGGTGTACAGGGAGACACGGTTCGTGGGTTCAGGTCAAAGGTTCTTCTTAGAGGAAAGACTACAAATTAAATATTTTAGCCCAGGGTGTTGAAAGAGCGGCAATCATGATAGAAAGATATTATTTAGTGTGTAAAGGTACCTCTTTGGCAGTAGTTACATTACATTTATCCCAAGCGACTTACAATTGCTATATATGTCAGAGGTCGCACGCCTGTGGAGCAACTAGGGGTTAAGTGTCTTGCTGAGGGACACAGTGGTGTCTCACAGTGGATTTGAACCCGGTTCTCTCACGCCAAAGGTATTTGTCTTATCCACTGCTCCATCACCACCTCCTAGTACTATTTGAGTGATTTATTCACCTTAAATAGGTCCAGTTTCCAAGCAATCTTGACTTTTCCTCATATTAAATGTCAGTGGTATGGTTAGTATAATATATCACAGAAAATAGGTCTCTGTTAGGAGAACCATGTAATCTCTGCAGTGTATCTCCTCGTGGAGAGATGGGAATCAAAAAAAAAGTTGCATGTAAAAATAAAAACTAATCATGTAAAAAATGCCTGGATGATTCATTTGTGGCAGAGTAAAAAGGTGGATACAGCAGAGAGAGCAACTTGAATGTTTAAAACCAAAATGCTGACTGAAGTGATTTAATTCTCCACGACCAAAAAATTAATTCTGGATGCTGGTACCTGACAAAAAGTAGTACATTTACAGTCAGCCAGTTTCTGCACGTCCCCTACTTCATCTTATTCAGTCACCAGACATTTTCATAATGAGTCCCATCACTCTAATAGTTAGTCCAAAACCACATTTACACACACTGCGTTACACACAAGCGCACGCAGATTAGCAGCCAGTGATAAATGAAAAGCATCACAGAGCAGAGAGAAGGGAAAAGAAGCCTACAGTGTTCTAATCTCATTAGCTCCTGTGTTAGCCTCACCCTCAGCGGATTAGCAGTAGACTATGTGCCGAGCAGAGGGAGACTGAGAGAGTGAGAGGAAACCCCTGGGGACTCAGGAGGAAAAAAAAGCAAAAGAGACACGGAGAGAAAGTTGGTAGGAGAGGAGAAAGAGAGCATCGCTGGCTCTCTCTGAGATCAGTGTTTGAGTCCACACTATGTCGAGGTTTGTCTCTAGCGTCTGGATCGCCCTGTGGAGACACCCCTTTGGCTCCGCCTCTCCTACTCCTGTCTGATTAAAGTGCTCACAGGCAGCTGGAAATGCCTCATCGTCATAATGGAATATATTGACATTTAAATTTTAGCCTGTTTATTTCTATTGTCTGTCCAATAATTTTGGATTTGTTCAAGTCTAAAGATTTACTGCTGCCAGTCCTCATTAAAACCAGTAGGTGTCTATTGTTGCAAGTTAATGAGACGGCTTGATTAATTAATGAGCAAATATATAATAAACGTTTTTTTCACATTGTCACAGGTCAGTCTTAGACCTGATTAAATTGCAAACTGTCAAAGTACCAAATCTTACAACATGACTGATATATACAAGAATGTATACTCTACTCATTTGACTTATACAAGATGTCCGTCAAAAGTCAATATCAGGGCAAATGATAAAGGTAGGGTCCTGCACATGATCTGAGGCTCATGAGTACAACATTTCATTGATAAAAAAGTGCTTCTGACATGAGGAATGTCTCAGCTTTTAAGCTCTCTAAGGAGAATGTGGTGGGGCCAGCTGTTATGTAACACTGTGCCAGCAAATGCATCAGTGTCTATTGATTTAGTTAATTTCTAGTACATATTGTATAATATTTATGTTTTTACATTTTTTACTGCACTCCAGAGAAACTCTGGAGACACACGAGGCAATCGCTGTGTGCAGATGCTGCCCTCTAACCACACGCCTGACCTGAGGAAGGCCTTTTTTTCAGATTGAAACCTTTTTTATTCATCAGTAAAATGTTTCGCTTCAGGGAGTGTGTAGGAGCTTTTCTTTACTTACTAGAGCCAGAATCTGCTCTAAATACCTTGGAATCCCCAAAATATTGCAGAGAAACATACGGTATCAGTAAGCAAAGAGCGTTAAGTCTCCACCGTTACTTCTGTCAGATACAAATTTCCAATGTTAAGTTGACTTCCCCCTCCCCTGAAAAATCACACTATCCTTAAGCCCCCCTTTGCTGCGATTGCCATGGCAACTACTCCATTGCCATTCAAGAGACTGAGAAGTCTGGAGCATTGAGACGCAGAGATGGACCGAGACTGACACCATGAACAGCGCCCTGCTACAGGCCACAGCAGCTGTACACATCCAAGGCTGCTCCGCTGTCAACACAGACACGCTGAGCTTTTTGTGTGTCGCGAGGCACCAAAAAAAAAAAAGAATGACTTCCATCCAGAATGTGGAGGACATTCAGAGCACTGGAGCTGGATGTGCAGATTGTTTATTTCTCCGAAATCGTAGCACACACAAATAGAGAAATGGATTTCATGTTAAATGTTGACCTTTCATTGTCGTGGTGCTTTGGCAATATTGACATCAGCTATCATTAGCTTAATTAGGCTTTGATTTAAAAAAATCATGTTTACAAATGTCATTGTCTTTCTGCAACAGAATACGCTTGTTAATTATTTCCCAGTTACAGCATGTACCAGGCAGCCCTAATGATTGTTTCTTGACCACAGAGGAGCTCTCCAGTGACTGTGATTTCAGCTGCAGAGGTTTTGCTTCACCATCACCTTTTTTACACTTGAGGATTGAAAAATGTGCAAAATATGATTTTAGATGTTATGCAAATATCTCGTTAAAGCAGCTATTTGCATGTAAGCAAAGGAATGTATTCACTAAATTAACTTTTGGTATGTTCTCCTACTTTTCCTACTGGTCAACTTGTAATGCACAAATTTAACCGGCAGCAGAACAATGACAATAGAGATGGATCACATGAAGATGAAATCATGCACAGTCACTGTTGTACACACGCTAAAGGACCTGCACCATTTGGATGCTTTGCTCCAAGGGACAGGTATGAAAATGTGGTGACTTCAAACCGGATCTCTGTAGGGCTAGATTTAGAAGAGCTTAGAAAGTGGACAGGAGGCTGTGTTTGCACAATTTAGGACACTAATTGTGTTCTCCTTGTAACTTGTGCTAACAGTTTCAGTTTTTGTTAGCCTGTTATTGCTGGTACATGAGCAGCTAATGAAAGTGAGGCAGGACAGTGGTTTTCTAACTTTGGACTGGTTTAGATCAAGGTTGCCATTGCAGACAGTGCATTTGCATTATTGCACCCCTTTTTCTAAAACCTACATGCTTCTTGTATTGAAAGAAAAAAGAACTCTGTGTGCTTTTACCAATTATAGCGCGTGGACACCATGGGATTAATCGTTAATTAAAACAACTTTCACACTCAGAGTATTTTGTTATGTCAGCTATTTTAAGCCACACGAATATAATTGAACATGTGTGCGATATTTTGTAACGTTTCGATGGTAAAAATGATAGCGTTGGTGCCCTAGAATTGTGTCATGGTAATAAACAGTTGTGGAAATACTGCTTTAGGATCTCCCTTCCTTGTTCCTCTCAACCTTTGGCTTTGAATTCTCTTTTCTGAATCCTGGTCGAACTCTGTCTGACTGTTCAGCTGGAAATGCCTTATCTTGTGTGTCCCAATGGACTTATGCGAGTCCTCTCTGAAACCCCTCCTCCCTTCCTCACTCCCCCAGAGGTAAGACCTTCCTCCCCGCCGCCTCTGCCAGAGCATCTGCTCCCCACATGGTAGCCTGCAGCCCTACCCCACTCCACCCCCGCTCTATCCACTCCCCCTTTCTGGTTTGCGCTGATCAAGTGAGCTCCCCACTTCCACCCCGTTACTAACAACCCTCCAGTATTTACCTGCCCTGACTGCATCCCAGTTCTACTCTTGGGATAGATTTTTATCAGTAATCCACTAAGAAATGGGGGAAATTGTTGGACTAAATTTGATCCTCTTCTAAATATATTTAGCAGTTCAGACAAGATGTCTGACTAGGTCTTCAGTGCATTTTTGTTTAATCCCAGAACAGGGTGCTAAGTTTTAAATGGAAAGCTGGCCTTACGCTGCATATTAGATGGATGGTAGCGATGGGACCCATGTATATGACTTGAGAGTGTTCATGTCACAGGATAACTCAAGACAGTTAGTGAGGGTGTACTGTGCATTGACAATATATCTCTACCTCCATTAAACTTGGGTTTTATGCCTCGAACAGCAGACGCTGGCTCACGTAAGGCGTCCTTATTTACTTGACTTTCATGCACTGGATTGTATTATGAAGCGTCAAGTCAGACACATCTGACATTTCAGAAAAGAGTTTGACGTGAACGCCATTTATAAATCTCGTAATTAAGCTTACCGAACGTGCAAATCCAAGTGGAGGTACGATTGTTGGCACTCTTCTGACAGTCTTCTGAAGTTCTCATTAGCCGTATCTTTATTCTGCTGCAATGAAGACAAGCAATATACATGCAGAAAAGTTGTGGCCAATGCAAACTGTCAATGCGATAATAATGTCGACAATCTTTCTGTTTTTTTTGGTTGTTTCATCCATTTATTTGGGCATGTTTAGTGTCAGCCAAGCTTGAAATAAAAATAGATTATTTTTTAAAAATCCAAATAAAGTCAGTGAATTTGGGACACAGCCATGGAGTAGACGCCTCACTAACAGCAAGGTCATACACTCAGTGATTTTGAGTTTAACTGCACGTTTGCGTTGGTGTAGTGGTCAAATAACACCGTCTGACACGTTTGAGCAGAGACGTCTTCCTCTTTGTTACAGAGATCAAATCATGATACCTATAGATACACATTTTATTTTGGCATTCAACATGCTGCTCTTCATTTGAGCCCTTTACGTTTTCCTAGCTTGCTCACCAAGCTTATTTGATATTGCCACGAGGCTTCATCATAATACAGAATATCAGAATGTTGCAATAGAGGTGACTGCACAACCAGTATATTCTAAAGCCAGTTTTTGTAATTGTACAATCATAATTTTATTACATTCATCAGTGAAAGCCATATCCGTAGATAATTACTGTAAAAGTCTGCACAACCCAAATCCAATAGATCAGCAGCAGCAGAAGTTTGTGTATTGTGTGAAGAGTTTGTGTTAATGTCAGCAGCTGGGTGGTCCTCCCTGTGGGGGTTATTTACCCAGTAACGTAGCTGCAGTTCTGCTGAGTCTGTCGCATTAAAAATTGACAAACATACGGGGACACACAGGTACACACACACATACACACAGAAATATTGCACATCAAGTGAGCATGAAAATGTGCACAGGCACATGTGAACGCATTCTGTACATAACAAATCCGTGACTGCTGCATCACACACACTCACAGTGCTTGCACAGTGACACTTTCTCTGCCAGTACCAGTCCATTCAGATGAAGGATGACGACCTAGCTGAGGCACACAGCCCTGTTAAATTAGCTACATTTGTAACGGTGGTGACAAACACGTGCATGCGCACGCACACACACACACACACACACACACACACACACACACACACACACACACACAGGAGATGCACCGTTTCTCATTTTCTCTCATACAAACACAGTGTACCTCCCTCCATTGTTTACTCTGCTTTTTTTCCCCAGACTGTTTTCACATTCACGTTGCTGCATTAAAACTCAGTGTGTGATGCTCTCTCTTGGACAGATGTTTGTCTGGCTCTTTACCCGTGTTCCCTTGCCCTTTTATCTGCTTGCTACCTGTCCTTCCTGTCACTCCTCATTGTAATATCAATAAAACCAAAATCCCAGAATAGTCTATAAACCTCTGAGTAGGATTGCAGAATGCACACTTTGTTTCATTTTTATTTTTTTTGTAAATGTGCTCTGTAAATGTTTCTTTAAATATTGCCAGTACACAATGACTGCAGACCTTTCAGGAAGTCAGAGGTTGGGCCGGATTAATCCTCCAAATTATCTGGCAGAAAATGCTGAATTTTAGAGGCTCTGCATAGTTTGGAAAATGGCAGAGGACGATAAGTTAAAATATTTGACCTTCTGCTGCAGCTCCTGTAGCCTCAGCAAACAGTGTTGTCAGGATGCATTGCTGTATGTCATGTTTGAAATAAATTGTATTTGCCAGTCTAGCTATATCAATATGCAGGAGCTGTGTGTGTGTGTGTGTGTTTGAGCACAGAGGCTACCACTCGGCCAATACCTCATCAGGGGTAATGGGCCATGATGAATCAGAACCTAATCAATGTGCATTACCATTAGGATTTATTCCTATGCTCGCTCTCGACGGCCCGGCGCAGCAGTGGCCGGGCAAGATCATCATCGTTTAGCCAAACCAAAGGAGATGCTGTCCACAACCCACGTTGTGTTGAATCAGCCGCCTGTCAGCCAGCATGTTTCATCTAAAGACTAGCGCGCACGCACACGTGCGCACACACACACACAGTTATTGAATAAGGAGGGAAGGCCTCCCTTGAGGATCTAAGGGCATTAAAGAAATTTATTAGTATTGGTTTTAATTCAGAGTCCCAATGTCTCGGGCTGGAAATAATGTTTCAGAGGCCTTTTCTTTACTTTGCCTAGAAACATTTGTGAGGGAAATAATACACGACCACATACACACAAATGTGCACATTCACAAACAAAAACAGTATGGTGTTTTCTGCTACTAGAAATAGGGTTGCAATCATTGTTTGATTCTTCAGAAGCAAGAAAGCCAGCAGGGGGAACATGTTATGTGTTTGTGTAAAGGCAGTTGATAAATTGTTATATTTCACCCAAAGAGTACTACATCTTGCTTTATACCTGATTTTATGACTGACCTACGCTTAAATGATAAGTCTGGCAATATTCAGTTTTTTTTATTATCAACAAATCCAATTAAAAGGCAAAAACTAACAATGAATTGATCCTACCAACAAGTGTTGTCTGTGTAGCCAAAGCCTGATGTTCCTCTGAGCCACAGAGCTCCATTGTTGTCTGAAAACTATTTAAAAACAGCAGCGAGACACAATTGTGCACTGGGTGACATGTTCCTTCATTACAATGAACACGGGCGCTCTAATTTATTTTAAATTAATCCCAAATACACTGTCCTGCTGCTGTAAACACTCCCTGTTCAGATCGATTCCTGCATGAGTAACGTTTGCTATAGTCTACAATGCCTGGCTGTGTTAGAAGCTTATTTAACCCTTTTTAAAAATGAAACTGTAAATATGTGACCTGTTTTTAGATGTACATCTTCAGTATGAAACCGGAGGGCTTTGAGTGCCACAGCCAGGCTAGGGAAGTGAGAAGGTATCGCTAACACTTAGCTGGAGTCTTTTTATGGGATTTGTTTGACAATAAGAAGAATATAGAATAACGCCAGCCTAATGTTTAAAAATATTTGTCTATAAAGGTGGAAAATGTGTTTTTAAATGAATTGTTTGTCAGAATTGCATAATATTTTCTAATGTGAAGTGGCTCACAACTAATGTGATCGAGAAAGTGCTTTAATGAAGTTCAGTATTTAGTTGAACTGTGAAAAGCTCCCTTCTTCATTTTAGTGTTCTTGTGCTTTAACCTGTCATGTATTATTTTGATTCAACTCGAGCATGTTTGTGTGCGTGCGTTTGTTTTGCATGTCATTCTTCAGCCTGAGCTGTTGTTGGTATGACGTTTTTTTCCTCCCACATGTAGAAACACACCTTGTAGTTTGTCCTCCCATTCCAGTGAGATCTCTCTCTTTCTACCTCAGTCTTCTTTCTGTTCGCGCAGAAGCTCAATTCTGTTATTTCGTGTGTGTGTGTTTGCTTGCACTGGGCTGTGTGTGCTGCTGCGTCCTCCTGCATTGTGACGTCCCCCGAGCTGAGCGCGTTGTCATTTTCTGTTTAACAGCACTTTTCTTTTCCCCTCTTTCCCCCTTTTGTCCCACCTTCTCTCACCGCCCGCTCTGTTTTTGTCCCTGTTGACTGTGTGCAGCGGTGTTGTGCTCAATCCTGTGCCATGTTGATTTTTTTGAACCCCCCTCCCCTCACCCCCAGTGCTTCTCTTGTGGTTTTTGTTCTTATAGTTGCAGGACCCCCGCATGTATGATCAGGTCTATAGGTACTTAGACCTTCCAGGGCAGGTATGTGAAAATATGGCGATTATTTCAAAACTGTGTGATTTCTGCTACAGCAGCTCGCTGCTCAGTTTCTTTACAGCCGTGTGTGTGATGAAAGTCAGTCATGCTGAAGTCTGGGAGGCAGGGAGTGATGTTTGATGATGGACCCTGAGTAAATATGTAAAAACCTTATCAAATTGTCGCTTTATTGCTACTTTCTGAATTCCATGCTTCAGTAAAAATATATACTTGTATGATATTTTGATTTGGTCCATGTCAGTGAATGAGCACTCCCTGTTCCCAAACTTGTGCAACGGTATTTTCTTAAACATCTGTGTGATTTGTCTCACTAGAGAGCTAATTCAGTACACTATTTGAAAAGTCCTTATCACCTAGTTTAAGATAAATAGAAATTGCAGGAAGATGTTTTGACAGTAGCTACAATGCAAAATGAAAGAGGGATGCTTTGGTATATGGGTATTTATGTGCACGTGGACTGTAGAGGGTGAAGCAGCAGAGTGTGAAAAAGCCAGAGGGGGCAACTTAGATCCATATTAAAAATTTGGATTTAATTGTGTGATTAAAATTTTCTCTCTCTGATTTAACAGCAGCTAATCTGTTACCTTTTTCTCTTGCTATCCCCCTCTCGTTTTTTTCTCCATCTACACCATCTCTTGTGGGTTTTCGTCTTCCCATTTGATTCTCGCCGTCGTCCGCCATCTCCTCATCTGCCTCTTTCCTCTAACCACCTCTTCCCACACCATCATCGTCACCCTCCCTACCAAAGCTGAAGGCGATAGACCGTCCGCAGGAGCCCGAGAAGGTGCCGCGGGCGCCTCACGATCGTAAAAAGGAGTGGCAGAAGCTGGCACTGGGGGCAGAGCTCGCCCAGGACATATCTGACGACAAACACAGAGAGGCCAACGGATCTGCAGGCTACCACGACAACAGGTGTGTAAATGTGGCTGTCCAGTGTTACCCATGTCAGAGTTGGAAACTAGGACAAAACTCTCTAAGACAGCATGAACGGAAAGTCAACCTATCTCCACCAGGTTTTAAGAAGCTACTTCGTCCCATCATTTTAACCTAACCTAACTCAAAACAGGCTAATGTGCACATAAATATATACAGAATATGCAATATAACTTCTATTTTAAAATATGAATGAGCTTCAAAAATACTGATTGGATAAACACTGATTCGTCAGCAGGATGTAATCACTCAATCTACAAAAATAAATTGTGCCCACTCCACTAAGAATGACTTCCTGCAGTTTAGCTACAACAGCGATGATTAAGGTTCCTCACAGTGGTGATTGCATTTATTGTGCCTCAAAGCTCCAATGCCACTGGTATCCAATCATTCCCCTGCCAGTGAATGTGATTAGTAAGAAAAGATAATACAAATTGGTGGTTTTCTTGGATTTGTCAGTGCCATGAATAGAACTTCAAGGCAACAATGAATGCATGCTCCTTGATGTTATGACCAAATAGCCACAGTGTCTATGATGGACAGGACTGACAAAGCATCATCTGATTTCTTTTTCTTTTTTCCTTTTCAACTGTAGCTGAGGCACATTTCCATTTTTGTCCTCATAAATAAAACTATATAAAACGAGTGCAAGATACAGCACTAGATCAAACCCAACCAGTGTAAGCCATTTAAAAAGAAGCAGATGAATAGATTTTATTCATACAGCCACATATGATTCTACTTTTGGTATTTTATTTCATTTTTCCTGTCTTGATGTATCAGATTCTGGATCCACAGACTTACTAAGAAAACATGTCATCTCTATGCAGCAGTTCAAAGTGTTTATCATTCATTCTCAAAAAAAGAATTTGAACAAGTATGAACATGTTTCAAGCTTGTTGAAATATTTCGTAATTACCTCTCGTCTTCAACTCTGACTATTTTTTAGGGATGCACCGATCCGACTTTTTCAGTCCAGATACCTGAGCGTTAGGGTATAATCCAACAGAAACAAGGCCAGCTCGGCATCTGTCCTGCATGCTTTTAGCTCATGCCAACAAGTCAAAGTCAGTTTGATATTTGCTCTTGTCCGGTCGTTTGCTCGTCTCTCGCTCTTTTTCTCAGTCCTCGCTTCCTCTGACAATGTCTTCTTCAGCCTCTTTGCAGCTCCTGCCATAGCCATACTGAGAATACCGAGCTAGCTTCTTCCAAAGAACTTGCACTGTACATTCTATACTTGTGCTTCATCTTATAGCTTGCTTGCTGAAGAGTCCGAAAATGCTATGTTAGCTCTCCTAGCAAAGTGTTCAGGTGTGACGCATTGCTTGATACGCACGTAATTGAATTGAATAGATTGGCTACCCGGCCAAGCTATTTGGTTCAGTATCGGGCCGATTTTGGTATCGGTTCGGTGCATCCCTAATATTTTTTAGCACACATTTTGAGCTGCTTCATACTGTACTTTATTTCACACAGTTTGTAAGTAAATAAGCACACTGCTGTACCCTGTGTGCACTACTTTAACTTCTAGTCCTCCTCTGGGGTCGGTCATCTTCATCCTGTAGGATGATTTACAGAATAAGAAGGAGGGGGGGAAAAAGCTCTGCTTCGCATCATATTCATATTTTCAAATCATATTCATTATTTGATTACTTTTCTCGCATCTTTGCTCTTTTATTTTGAAATACTGGATGTTCTTCCTCCTCGAGCCTCTAAACATGATTTAAATGAATCAAGGAAGATCAGGAAAGAAAAGTCATTCTTATGTAGTGGTAGATGTCAAGTTTTATAGACGTGTCGGATCACAGTCACTTACACCTTCATTGGGTGAAATTCATGATAAATGTGAAGGAAATTTACCTGAAGGAGACAAGGACTGAAATGTAAACAAAGTGTGTACAAGCTATCAACGGTGGTTCTTTCACAAGGGGGTATAAGGTAAAACAGTTGGGAGCCATGGGTCTCTTCTACATGTAGCATGAGCAGCAGTCACAGCCAGAATGTCTGTTGATGTGTTTAAATAACTGCGTTTGAGTTCTAACAGAAAAAAATATTTGTGCAGGTAAGCTTGTTAGTTGATAAGAATACCATGGACAATAACTAAAAACAAAATTGAGCAAGGGGAAACCAAACGCATGAGAAAATGAAAACGTATCTCTCTGCTCAGGGCTCCCTCGTACATGGAACATTTGGACGGGCCCTTCTCGCTGGCGGCGCTGCCCTACAGCCAGATGAACGAGCTGCTGAACCGTACCGGGGACAGAATGTATTCACGGCCCCACGATCCTCCACCTCCTCCACCTCTCATGCACCCACTGGGAGAGATCAAGCCACCCTCTGTGATCAGGTGGGACAGGAGACAAGGCCATAGCCTCAGCTTTATGTCCCCTTTAGTGATACTTTTTTTTTTTTTTTTTTTTTTATCGTCTTGCAATAAGTGCAGCAAGTTTTAATAATAACAGCAGTAGGTGCTCCCCCACATTGACAGAAAGTTAATGCAGCTCTGATTTCCAACTCACCGGACTGACAAACCCTGCTCACCCGATGCTCCAAGTGGATTCAAGAGTGAAGAAGTATTTCACCTTGTCTCTGATTCACAAGCAACACACATCCCATCCCCATCTCTTTGGTTTGTTTGGTTTAAAAAAAAAAACAACTTATTTGTCTTTGTATCTCTTATCGATTAGTTTGTTATCGTGACTGGCATTCCATTACTTTTCTTCTTGTGAGTATTTATTGTGTTTGAGAGGACGAGGATTTTTCACTGTTTTTAGAGCTCAGTAGGAAAAAAACACAGAGAAGAAGGGATAGACAGAGATTTTGTGGACCAAAGCTGAAGGTGGGGAGAAGGGCCGGATCAATAAAGTGTTAAGGCCACTGAGCGCATTACAGGTTGTTTTTCTGCTGCACACTTTTGCCGCATGTCACTGTTTGAAGGGATGGAGAGATCAGAGGGAATGATTAAAGCTGTGGCTGCAGCACCAGAGAAATATCTCATTGATTTTTGCAGAAGTCCTTGCAGCTATCTTCATCTTTTGCCCACAAACTCTTTCCTCCCCATCTTGATCTGCCACCTGTCTTTATTTACTTCTACTTTTTAGTCTTTTTCTGATTTTTGCTTCTGGTGTTAGTTACTATCATTGTGTTGCATATCTAATTTTCTCACTTTACCCCCCTCCCCACATTTAATGTAGCACATTAAGTAGATATTTGTAACGATACAACCTCAAGTGTGCTTGGGGGAGTACACAGTATTTTTCTCTCCTTTCTCTCTTGCTGTGCTTTTTGTCTGCAGCAGTTCTCTCCGTGGAAAGAAAATTGGTTGTGAACATGTCGGTCTTTGTGTTGCAGTGCTTGGGTTAGTAGCACAATCCAGCAACATAGCTTCAGCTTCAGTTAATGGCCAATACTGAAAATGTTCTGACTTTAACGTATGAGATACAGTAAGCTCTAGATGCTCTGTGCTTTCAGTGCGCCTCTCTGAGATGCAGCATCCTCTACCCTCTAATTTGGCATATGACATTGAGATAAACATTCACTGGCATGGTGGGCTGGTGGCAGAGTTAAGGACCCCATAAACCACCCTGACAACACTGCAATTTCAAAAAGCTACTGTATGTATGATTACTTTTACCAGCGCCGGTCTAAACATGAAATTGTGCTGCAGCTGATTACCTGATCTAATTTAGCTAATGTAGGCTCTGTGTGTTGGCATGACAAAAGAGGATAAAGCTCCAAGTCTCATGCGATATGTCCGCATCCTCACCAGCTGATGATCCATGTGGATGACTTGGAAATAAAGAAACGGCATTGTTCTTGTATCACAGAGTACAGCTAGTTGGTCCTAGCATCGTACGTATTTCATGTTTCTTTTCTACATAGATTTCAGTTTTCTGATCCCTGTGATGACCTGCTTTTCTTTCTTTCTCTCTCTCTCTTTCCCTCCAGTTCCAGTTCAGGTTTTTCCGACAGCAGACCCCAGTCCCCAGCCCGGACAGCAGGCCTCAACTCCAACACTCCTCCTCCACCGCCTCCTCCTCTTCCCCCTCCACCTCCCCCGTTACCCTCCACAGGCCTGCGGGGCACCCCTCCTCCTCCCATTCCTCCTCTACCACTCCAGCAGCAGGCCCCAGCCATCCCGCCTCCTCCCGCTCCTCTCCAGATCGCCCCCGGCGTGCTCCACCCAGCCCCTCCACCCATTGCGCCTCCCCTCCACTCCTCCTCCCCAGCCCGTCTCCAGCAGGTCCTGGACAGGGGCCCAACCATGGGCTCTGGGACCCAGTCGGATGGCACCATCCTGCCTCCTCCCCCGCCGCCTCCTCCTCTGCCCCTCCCCGGAGTGCGGAGCTCCTCGCCTTGTCTGTCAGGCCCGCCGCCTTTGCCAGCCTTCCCCTCAGCAGGAGCCATGGCCTCCCCACCGCCCCACACCATCCACGATATGGGGTCCAAGAGGCACCATCCAGCCAATCTGCCACCCATCAGCGATGCACGCAGTGTTCTGTTGGAAGCCATCAGAAAAGGTGGGTTGTGTTTTCCCCCGATTGTTTGTACACAGCCGGCAGTGCAGAGCTTTCTCTGGATAAAGCGCACGCTCACAGTTTAGGGGAGAAGTGTGTATTTTGTCTTTTTGATCCCTTGGATGCTTTTCAGATGCCGACATTTTATTTAAGAAATGCATCAGATTTATTAAATAATAGCTGAAAATGTTGGTTGTTGGACAAAAAAAAAACTAATCTGCAAAAATGCATTTTAAGCAAAAGTCCCAAAAAGTCACTTGTTCCAGCTTCTCAAATTTGATTATTTGCTGATTTTCTTAATTATCTACAATAATAAATTGAAAATATTTGGGCTGATCAGACAAGACAATCAAATCAAAGACATTATTTCATCATAAACTAAAGTCTTTCCCTACTTCTTCCCACTGCAGGCATACAGCTACGCAAAGTGGAGGAGCAGCGAGAGCAAGAGGCTAAGCACGAGCGCGTTGGCAATGACGTGGCCACCATCCTGTCACGGCGCATTGCTGTCGAGTACTCCGACTCCGAGGACGAGTCCGAGTTTGATGAAGGAGACTGGATGGAGTGATGGCAATCAGAGAGATGGTGGGGGGAAACGCAGCGTTGGCGGCAGAGCATGAACGTGTTCAGGTGCCCCCCCCAACCCACACAGAGTCCTTTGTACTCTGGAAAGAAGTGGAATATTGTTGTTGCCCAGTTGTCCTCTGTCAAGCTTTTTTTTTTACCTCCCCGTATCTCTGTCTTGTTGTGGGTTGTGTTAGGAGGAGAATCTCCACGTTGCCCTTGTCTGTCTCTCTAGTGTTCCAAGAGAAGTTTTTTGCGTTCATCCTTTTCTGCACTACCACACGACCTTGTTTACTATCGTCATACATGAAGATAACTTTTTTTTTGAAGAACCACTTGTTTTTATTTCGTATTTGTATGTCAATCTTTAAAAAAAAAAAAATGAAAATGAGAAAATAGAAAAGGACAAAATGAAGGCATGTTGCATTTATCCTTAGTTCTCAGCACCATTTTGCCACCTGGTGGCTGAACATGGCATTGAATGAATGCTGTTATCTTTTATTTACCTTTTTTCTGATGAAACATTTGTGGTTTTAACGGGCCAGTAGTTGCTGATACTGACCACTACATGAACAGTCACTCAGTGTGAACACCAGCTGGGTTGTTTTCTCTCTTGTTATCAGGACTGACTTTACCGCTTAGAACAAGCAAAAGATTGTGTTGATGATTGCTATACGGTTGGAATATGAAGGAGCAGAAGCACACGTCTGCTTCGGCGCACGTGTGCATATCCATCCACTTACATCTAACTTGTACCCCCACGGAAATGTATGCCAAGAGATTGAGCTTTTCTGTCTGTCCAGGTTCTAAAGGAGCCACATGTGCTCATGTTGACATCAGGCAATGTCGAAGATAAACACTGAGCCATTGGTTTTTAGTATATGGAGCTCCCATCCTTTTCTCAAGTTCTTTGCCATAGAAATGGACACTGGAAGTGATTTAGATGCTGTAGATTTACATCAGATTTCCTGCCTCTCTTATTGTCCCAGGTGAATATTCAGTGTGCCGATGAAAATCTTGAATTTTGAGAAGGTGTGATTATGAGAGTCTGACCAACACCAGGTACAAACCACTCAACACCACTGAAGGCAGCTTTTCACTCAGATTACCCTTTATTGTGTACCTGCCCACTAACGAGAAGCCTTACCCTCGTTTGGTTCTACAGAATTTCAAAATAAAACATTTTGTGTGATACTGCCTTTCAGGAATGAAAGAGAAGGATACATTATGCCTTGTTTTGGCTCATTTCAAAGAAAATGTCTGCCATCCTTTTCCATTTGTTCTTTCTTCTACTTGCCTTATTGTTCGTACAAAACGTATCGTTGAGTTCATGAATGTATTGTGCTGTTACTACTTACTTGCCTGCGCTTGTATGGATTTGCTGTTTCTATGTTTGGGAGGGGGGAGAAGGGGCGAGGGAGGACAGAAACCCTGGTTTTAAAAAAAAAAAGAAAAAGATTAGATCAATACTGTATACCATGTAACTTATGTAACTGTTGACTGTAACAGTTTGCTTGAATTAATAAAAATCTAATGTTATGTTACAGCCCTAAATGTTACGGGTTCATTGTTGTTGTTAAGCTGAATTTGTCTTATCTCTTCAGCTGAGCCCTATTCATCATATGTGGATAACCATTAAGCTCCAACCTGCTACAGTTCAGGCTTTTACAGTTAGCTAGACCCTGATCAAGACTTTAAGGTGAACCCCAAATATGAGGTCCATTTTCAGCAGAATCATGGCATAATTATGATCCGAGAACATGTCAATTATTGAGACGTCTTCAAAATCAGCCAGTCAGAGTTAATTAAATTTTAACAAGAAATGGATAAATATCTAGAATGATAAAGAGCTACAAATCATAAGTAACATTGATTGCTTAATATTTTGCCACACAATTTCTGAAGTTTAATCTGCTTTACGAGTCTTTCATTTCAGTCAGAATGTTTTGAAAGTTGACACTGAAGACGAAATGAGCAAGGAAAGAGGGGTATGACCTGCAATAGTGTTTTTTCCATGATCCCACTGCAAGCACGTTGGTTACTAGGCAACATCAATGCGGGAATCACAGTAATCAGATTATTCTCCAGTTATCAGGTTTAAATGTGTGAAACACAGTAATCAGATTACTTTTTACTCAACAGGTTACACTGTGTGAAACAGTCATCAGATTACTCTAGTTATCAGGTTTCACTTCACCACAAATCCATCAGCAGCTCTGTGCAGCTCACATTCCCAACAGAATAAAAAGGCTGTTATTCAGAAAATACATTTTTATATTGGAAAACTCTACCAGCTACGTTACCTGGTCACAAATGCCGTGTTTTCCATTATCTGTGCCAGCTCAACTCGCCTCGACTCTACTCGGTTTGGCCGTCCTCCGTTTTCCATTGCAGATAGTACCCAGGGATAGTAGCCCTCAACGTAGCTGGTCGTCATAGCGACGCCACACACAACTCCCGCGACTTATTGTTCAATGCGACACACGTACAGCTTTCTCTTGATTTAAGTTAAAACGTTTCAACGTTACTGAGAATGTAAAGACAGATAAGCGGTATGAAAACAGCTGTTTTCCTCTGCCGTAGTTGATGCAGGTCTCTGTGACAGTGGGACCAGAGGGCTCTGTGAGCGGGTGGCTGGGCGGACTTCCCCGCCGAATTTAGCGATGAAATAATGTGTGAAAATTGTAATATATAAAACGTTATGTTGCTGGCCTCTGCCAGGCGCGCCCAATGATGGCGCAGGGAATAGTAATGATTCTCTCTGACCAATCAGTAGTCTGCTGTGTTCTATTTCCTACAGGCTTCGCCCTCTAAAGGTGCGTTCACACCACACTGAAAGCGATTCTGCGTTTTTGGCGGCTTGATTACATACAAAGTCAATGCAAAGACGCGAATTCCCGTCAATTCGCTCAGGGCGGTGCGTTTGTCGCACAATTCGCTGGTTCGCGCGAGTTCCAATTTTTCAACTTGGGTGAGAAATTTGCTTGACGCGATGTTGCGAAAGCCTATCAGTAGTGAGATTGTCCAAACGTCACCGGCGGCTTCGGAGCGTTGTTTGGAGAGGACCATGTGAGCGGTGTAATGAAAAGCCATCATTCGGCTATCAGTTTGATCCATTTATTGCAATTAAATCACAGCAAAGGGTTTACTTTGGATTCATAAAGCTGTGTTTATTCGCTGAAAACACGTGTGTGAAGACTCAAAATGTCAGGGGTTCTACTCCCATTACTTCCTGGTCAGGAGGAATATGGGGGGCGTGAGACCCTTCCAGGATCTGTCACTGTTCAACAAGCGATTATAGAGAGACCTTTTTGCATGTTGACAGTAAATCAGGTGCTGGAGTGTGTGGGTCAGGGAGACTGGCTCACCTCCATTGACCTGAATGACGCATACTTTCACATTGCCGTCATCCCCGGACACAGGAAATTCTTGCGGTTCTCCTTCCAGGGTGTCCAGTACCAGTACAACCGCCTGACATTCGATTACTCCCTGGCCCCACGCACTTTCTCCAAGTGTGTCGAGGCGGCTTTGGAGTCACTGCAGCGGTTGGGTGACAGGGGTCCTGTTTTATCCCGACCATATGCTGCTATGAGGCGGTGGTGCAGACGGCCAAGCTTGTCGCACACCTGTCTCACCTGGGTTTTCACGGTGAACTGGAAGAAGAGCGCCTCCCTCCCAGAGGCTCACCTACCTGGGTGTGGTACTTGACTCCTCTCTCTGGAGAGCACGGCTCTCTCAGGGAAGGATGGAGGTGCACGAGCTGCTCTCGTGTTGTCCCACGGGCAGTGGTGACAGCTCTGTCGATCATGAGGCTTCTGGGCCTCATGTCGGCTGCTCACGTGGTGGTCCCCCTGGGCCTCCTGCACATGAGGAGGTTGCAGCAGATGCCTGCGTGTCGACCCAGTGAGACAGAGACGCCATCTTATCGCTGTTCCTCTGTCTGTGGGTTCGAATCTGGCCTAATGGCAGGGTCATGTCCCATATCTCGGTCTTCACAGACGCCTCCCTGATGGGCTGGGTTGGGACCTGTCTCTCTCAAGTGGTAGGCGGTCTGTGGCAGGGCCACATGCCTCTCCACATAAACGTGCCGGAGCTCGTCCGTATCGACAACAGGGCTGCAGCGGCCTACATAGACCGCCAGGGCGGGGTGCGCTCGGCGCAGCTGCTGAGCTTGGCCAGGCAGCTGCTCCTGTGGGCGCACACTCATCTGCTCTCCATCAGAGCGAAGTACATCCCTGGCGTGTCGAACAGAGATGTCAAGGGCGGGCCCTCGCCCAGATGAGTGGGGCCTCCATCCCGATCTGGTGGCCCAGATCTGGCTCCGGTTCGCCATGCCAGTGGTGGATCTGTTTGCCAACCGGGAAAACGCTCAGTGTGCCCTGTTTCACTGAGCCTGCGGGATGTCCCCTGCTGGGGGTGGATGCCTTCGCGCACCCCCTGTGGCCTCCCCGGCTGCTGTATGCTTTTCCGCTGGTTTGGCTGATTCCGTGCCTTCTGGACAGCTTACAGTTTTCAGCCTTGGCGGTGATTCTGGTGGTTCCGGAGCGCACAAGCGTGTCCTGGTTTCCGTGCCTCCAGCGGTTGCTGGCGGGACAGCTGTGGAAACTCCCCTGGAGGGGGGATGCCCTCTCTCAGGCGGGGGCACGATCAGGAGTTGTCCGCTTCTTGGCCAGCCCCTGTGGGTTCGGCCACTGAGAGGCAGCGCCTGGAGGGTCTAGGTCTCTCCCACGAGGTGGATTACACGATCTGGGGGTCGAGAGCCGCCTCTACTCAGTCCTCTTACTCCTCCAAGTGGTCGGCGTACCAACGCTGGTGTTTGAACCAGGGGTTGGAACCGGTGGCCTGTCGCTGCCAGGGGGTGCTTTCGTTCCTCCAGCTGCTCGTGGACAGGGGTCTGGCGTTCAGCACGGTTAAAACCTACGCTGCTGCCATCTCCACTGTCACTAAAACCCTTGTGACAGGACGGTGTTCACTCACCCCCTGGTGAAGCGTTTCCTGAAAGGTGACATGGACTGCAAACCCAAGTCCCTTTTGAGTCTTTAGAGACAGCGGACCTGAAGTTTCTTTCGGCCAAGGTCGCCTTACTTGTGGCTCTGACATCAGCCAAGAGGGTCAGCGATCTGGCCGCCCTCTCTATGGCTCCTTCATGTCTCAAGATTCAGGGTGACGGCAGCTCGGCTGTCCTGCGCCCCAGTTCTGTGCTGACCAATCACAGCGCAGTATAGGACTCGCTCTAACTGAAGTCCGACACTTTCATGGATGCGCTTTTCTAGCTAATATATGGTCAAACTCTGTTCCTGGTGCACTTGTAATAGTTACAGTCGCTACCCAGAGAGGTTGAAAGGAGAAGTACGATTTATTCTCTTTACAAAACCCAAAATAAATCCAGAAAAATGTCGGTTGTGGATTGTTCCTTATGTTAGTTAGCTAACGCTAGCTAACTTCCGACTGAAATGTAGCGTAATAAAGCCCGACTGTTCTGCTTTTCAATGATTGTACTAATGAATAGAGGCCTACCCAGCTTTAAAGGAAGAGTGTTGATCCTTAATATCGTTGTCTTTTGTCTCAATCGTCGGGGTAAGCGGTGGTTCACTTGTACTGTGTGGATCGGCAGTCTTTAGCTTCTATCTTTCATTTTTTTTCACGTCCGTTTCAGTCAGTATGACAGCCTGAATACAACCTTCAAATGTATAAAGCAACTACAAAACTGTCTGCTTCTTTCTGAGATCGCTTTTTCCAACAAATTTGACAATATTTTTCCAGGGAGTGCAGTAATAAACAGTGGCAACGCCAACAATTTGTCGGACTTGGCAACAGTAACTAAGGGGGGTGGGGCTTAGCGAAGGGTCAATTGCGTCTCACACTCAATGCATGAGGGTTGGCAGCTCTGATGACATTATTCCCATAAAAATCTTTCTGGAGATGTCAGGTTACACAGATATGTGGGATAGATGCAAAAAGTTTTGAACATTCAGTCCAGGAGTTTCTAATTGAATTAAAATTTATTAATTTATCCTTGAGGTGAAAAGGTGCCACATTTAAAGAGGAACCCCAAACAAAGACACAAAGAGCAGGGAAGACTAAATCAAAGAAAAAGATATACAGAATGCTTGAAAGGCATTCACCAACTGAATTATATTCTTATATATTCTATATTTTAAATTGTCACCTGCTGCCTGAGTTTTGTGTTTCTGTTGACATAGCCTAGATAAAAACATTTCCACCATACATGGATACAGAAAAGTCAGAAATTTCACCAGAATGCAGGAAATTAAGTGTTTAATGCTAGAAATTTGCTGGGGGAGGACCACCAGACCCCGTCTAAATAAGTGACTCCTCCATTGCTGAAGGAAAACCCACACTCTTATTATGAACTAGCCTGTAATATTCCATACACTCTCTAGAATTAAAAGAAATACACATAGATTCAAGAGGGAAGACTCCCCAATACATGGTTTGGTCAACATTAAAGCTATCATTTCTGGGGGTTGGCAAGTATCATGATCACACTGATACACTGAGCATGATTATTGACTTGGCTTTTCATCTACACA